GCACCAAGGACGTATGTTAAGAAGAAAGCCTCCTCAGGTGTGAGCTGAAGATGCTCAAGATCCACAATGTCGACCTCTAGATCAGCTTCAGCGTCGGTCGGTGCGGCAGGGCCATCTGTGTTTTCATTGATCACCGGAGTTGCTGTTGCAACTTCTGGCTTGGTGATGTCCTTGGCATCGCTAACTACGAGCTTGTTGATGTTGGCGTCGGATACGATCTTGCCTTCTTGCCGTAGCTGTTGCTCAATAGCCTCGCGCTGCGCCTTGGCTCTCTCTAACTTGAATTGTCTGCGCTCTTCCCGCCTTGATTGTGTAACCTCGGTGCTTGTCTTGGACGCCTGGGCACCTCGCCTCCGCTTTTCAGCGACTAACCATTGTGGTTCACTTCGGCTGAGGGACCCTTTACCCCAGAAGCCTTGTTCCCAAAGAGCTCGGATGGAGGCCGGATCGGTGACATGAATTGACTGGGTCTCTGCAGAGTAGTATGCTCTGTGGATGACGATGTGTGACTTGGGATACCACAGCGACTGAGAAATCAGGCTGATGACTAGTCGCACAATGGAAATGGGGTTGTGCGGGATGAAGGCAGGCAGCGCATATACGTCTAGTGGCAGAGGCTTCGCATGTATTTCGTTGTAGTTGGGTCGTTTTGGGCGAGGTTTCCTCGAAACACCGTTGGCTGGTTCTTGGTTCGGCTGAGGTAGACCCTCTGGGCGCTCCTCGCTTGCAGCAACAGCATGCTCAGGCTGCTGAGTTGAAGACATGCCTCAGTCCAGCTCGATGTTCGACGAAACTGTACTCGCGTTAGCCCTGCGCGCGTTTTGAGGCAACGTGAAGTGTAGCAAGTAATGTCGATCAGATACCGTTGTAGTCTATTGTAACGGAAACAGCATCGAGAGCCAAACGCAGTCAAGTGAATGCATGCGCCGACAATCGTATAAGTGAAAAGTTGTCATCATAAGACAGTGAAACATGTGAATGGGAATGGATGGTACTTACCCGGCCTTTGCGACTTCAGGTAATGGCGTCGTCGACGAGCGTTGCGAGCTTCATGGTGGAGGTGGTGCTGAAGGTGAGAGGAGAGCGCAAAAAGTTTGGAGATGACTGTTTGCCAAGGCCGGATTTGATTGGCCGTCTTGGCCGACCGCACAGCAGTCCAGTTCCTAACACTCGACAGCCACCGTACCACTGGCTTTTGAGTGCGCATAGCGGGCATTGACAGTCGCACACGACATATGCTTCACGATACCCGCAGACTGCGGTCGGAGCTTGTGCTTGCCCTAGGAACGCCTGTTGTGACGTAATAAGAGCAGCTACCTCCGAGAAAGTAAAGAACGTCTTCGTGACGCCACGCGAAAGCGATTAGGCATCTGCACCTCTTACACGCATAGTACCTGCCTGATCAGAGACTTACTCCAAACATACCGCAGCTCTAGATATATACGGAACAGATTTCAAGATGCTGCCAGCGGCAAGATGGTCTTTACGACTGCCACGCCAGAGCGCTCGATCAATCACCACGAGAAGCACACCACGGCTAGCCCTTCGCAGTCGCCTACCGCGCAACACGACGCCGCCAACGACCTCAGCATATTCTACGAGACCACCTAGCAACGATTCCTCATCAAACAGGCATGATGGGGTCCCCAAAGAGACATCGAAAGTCGACGCCGTGTCCAACGCCCTCTCGACCACGCCCGACTCCGAGAACAACCTCGTAACGCCCGTATACATGCCCGAAGATCCAAACGCCGTCCTAAAGCAGACACACCCCGCCATGCGTCTTCTGGACAACTCCTCTCTTATAGTACAACGACAGCTGGAGATGATGAATGTGCTCATGGGCTTCGAGCAAGCGAACCGCTACGTTATCATGGACCCGCACGGTAACCATATTGGATATCTGGCCGAGCAAGAGCATGGCATAGGGAACGCCATGGCGAGACAGATGTTCAAGACGCACCGCAGCTTCACGACTCACGTCTTTGACCGGGACGAAAAGGAAATACTAAGGTTCCATAGACCTTTCAGCTGGATCAACTCGAGAATACGCGTGTATGATGCAGTAGGGCCCGACGAGAGCACCTATACCAGCTCGGCAAGTCTGCAAGGCACAAGTGTCAGAAGCATAGCCAGTCAAACGAGCGCAAACGTTTCCACTTTGGCACTACAGGATATGAGGATTATCGGAGCTTCGGAGCAGGAGTGGGCACCGCTACGAAGAAAGTACAACCTTTACCTCGCAAGAAATCTTGAGAATGCCGCCGCCGCACCCGATGCGCCACGACTGTCCTCTGGTGAGCTACCAATCTCAGACTCGAAAGCCGTCGCGGTAGCAGAAGGTGATACCCGTGAAGTAGGCATGCTTCAGTTTGCCAGGGTCGACGAACCCTTCTTGTCCTGGGACTTCAGCCTGATGTCTGAAGACGGGCGGCTAGCGGGTTCTGTTAACCGCAACTTCGGAGGCTTCGCGCGCGAGTTATTCACTGATACGGGTGTTTATGCGCTGAGAATGGACGCTGCCGGGCTAGCAAGTGAGCCGTCAGGCTTGGTTTCCAAAACTGGTGAGCAGAGCCGACCATCACTTGAAGACTACCCTGGCATGACCCTTGATCAACGCGCCGTAATGCTTGCTACCGCTGTTAGCATCGACTTTGACTATTTCAGTCGACATAGTGGTTCTGGTGGCATGTGGCCAATGTGGATGCCATGGGTAGGTGGCAGTGGTGAAGCCGCGGGAGGTGCTGCAGCTGGTGAAGCGGGTGCTGCAGGTGCTGGGGCCGTAGGTGCTGCAGGCGAAAGCGGTGTTGCAGGTGAGGTCGGCACTGCAGCGCGCGGACTGGGAGCTGGAGAGGGTGCTGCGACAGGTGCAGCTACAATGGCGGGCTACGAAGCTATGCAAAGGGGGCGAGAAGCCAGGCAACAAGAAGACGATGCTTCCCCACAAGCGACCGATCCGTATCAGCCCAACCCCGATCAACAGCCAGGCACAGGCCAAGTCGGTGAAGACATCTGGGGCGAAGATCCTGGCGTCGGATCTCGGGGTCAAGATCAGGACTTCTGGGGTGGACAGGGTGGACAGGGTGGTGGCGATGCTGGAGACGGTGGTGATGGTGGTGGGTTTAGCTGGGGTGACTTCTTCGAAGAGTAAGGTTGTGCCGCTTCTTTTCTACCACAACTGTATCTTGTAACATTGATACCATTTTAGATAATAAGCTCTATTGTCGAGCCAATTGTCGGGCAACGCGGTCATATACGTTCCTCCCATAATTCGGTTGAGTAGAGAAAAGAGCCCTAAATACTAGTCTGCGGCTGAGGTGGGGGCTGTGCTAAACAGCTCAGTCCTCCCTTCTTCATTCGCTTTTGCCTTCATGCACGACTTCACTCAACCGCTTTGCGCTTCGTTGCATGATTTTCTACGAGGCGCTAGATTCAATTTGAGCTCAACGCTAGCCTTATCTTCGTACCGGAGCATACCATTCAGCCTTTGGCTTTGACGAGGTGGACAAGTCCGACAACATACTCGGAAACGCAGCGAGAATGCCGCAGACGTCGAACTTCTACAGCTACAGAAAACTGGACGGATCAAAGCAGCAGATCCGTCTCGCAAGATTATTGCGGTCTCAACCTGTGGCCAATACGCTATACAGGCGCGACATCATTCACTGCGAACTTGAGATATTCGACATCAACACTGCACCCGAGTTCATCGCTCTATCATACACTTGGGGTGAACCATCAAATACTAGGTATATAGTTATCGACAAAAAACTGTTCGTTGTTAGGATGAACTTGTTCGATTTCCTCTCCGCCTTTCGTTCAGACGAAGCCAATACGCAGTACCTCTGGATCGATCAGGTATGCCCTACATCTACTTGACGATGTATGCATGGACTGATCTCAACACTCAGATATGTATCAACCAACAGGACACGACAGAACGCAATCATCAAGTTCGCCTGATGGCTCGAATGTACTCTGAATGCATCTATGTCATCGTTTGGTTAGATCTGTCTTCGCTAAGAGCAGCGCGAAGGTACTCCAAGAACAGAAATGCAGAGAATACTGAGGCTATCTTGAGAAACCGTTACTTCACGCGTCTATGGATCGTGCAGGAAGTAATGTTACCCAAAAAGGCACATATCATGTGCGGTCACGTCTGGATCGACTGGGATGTCCTCTTCAAGGCTGCATTGTTTGCTGGATTTCTGGAACATCAAACACTGTGGCCAATGACATATTTGCTTTCTAATCGTTTTGCTCACGCGGAACCTGTTCGACCTGGGTATTCGCATCTACTGTGCAATCTACTACGTCACTTTTCTAGCATGGGCTGCGAAGACCCTCGAGACAAGCTATACGGTATGCTCGGCCTCATCTCTGAAACGCTACGGCCCCTCGTGGATTATTCCAACACCAGGGAGGACGTTTACCTCGATGCTATCAGAATCCTTGGTCCATTTTTCTGCATGAACGCCTCGAATTGGTGGTGGCAGGACTTACCGTTGAGAATGGGTGTCCCGTTGGCTCATGTTGTATCGTTGCAGCCTTTCGTCACTGGTCTACTTGCTTGTGGACAAAGAGAAAATAAAGTTGACCCAATATGGACTTTGCAAGATATGGGCTTTGCAGAAGCAGATCCAACGCGTCATTATCCGGGTCGATGGTGGTACGAGTGCAAAGGCGTACGACAATACCACGACTGTATTTCCTCCAAGGACGAGACCGCAAGCTCGGAAGCTGCTTTGTGGTCCTTACTTGATGCTACGCCTGAACGAGGCTCGGAATAGCCGGGATACCCCGCATCATCGTTCATCTACCCCGAAAAGGTCCAGCTCCAGATTTCCCGCAGCGCCACCATTCGGGGGTAATTGTTCCGTCAAACCCACCATGCCGAAGATCCATCCATACCCACTGAACCGATATAACTAGCAGCCAAGCTTATTAGAGATCATGATTCCGATCATCAAGCCTTCAAAAACGTTTTCCGCTTTGTCGATATGAAGCTCATCGCGAGGTCAAGCATCTTCCTGACACTTTTTGTGCATGCAATTGCTGCCCCCGCGCATCCGAAGCAGAAGCAAAACTCTTTCAAATGGCATTCTACAGAATCTCTGATAGCCTTTGGAGATAGCTACACATACGTGCAGGGCACTCTCGGCCACCAAAACTACACCTTCATTGGCGATGAATTCAACTTCTCCTTCACGCCCGCACAGCTCTTCTCGAATCGCATCGTGCAGAACCTTACGGGAACGGCAGAAGGAGGCCCTAATTGGGTGGAGTTTTTGACTGGATGTGGTGTTGAGGATGGTCTGCATAATCCAAAAGAGTGCGATGTTCAGCTCTGGGATTTTGCATATGCTGGGGCGAATACTATCGAGGAAACTGGGTTCACACCCCTTCATCACAACCATACTGTCTCTCTGGAACGGCAGATCGCACAGTTTGCCTCCTACGGCAATCCAGCTCTCGAGTCAATTCACTTCAACAAGAACAAAGCGCTCGTAGCGATATGGATCGGCATCAACGACATCAATGACCTCGTATCAACCCAAGGCAAGAACGCTTCTTTTGCGCCACTCTACGAGAAGATTCAGGACCGAGTCTTCGAGAACGTGAAGAAGATCTATGAGCTTGGCTACAAGAACTTCCTCTTCATGAATCTACCGCCTCTTGATCGTGGGCCAGGCACGCCCAATGTCAACGCGTCGCTCGTTGCTTCTTTCAACAAGATCCACGCTACACATGCCAACGCCTTTCAGTCTAGTCACAAGGACGTGAAGGTGCTTCAGTTTGACGTCAATAGTGTTTTGAACTACGTTTTGGATCATTACCAAGACTACGGGTTCAAGAACGTCACCGACTACTGCCCAGGATACAATCAGCCAGATATCCTGACAAATCCAAGCCAATATGGATGCACGGACTTGGATACGTACTTTTGGTACAATTCAGGCCACCTGACGAGTCGGACGCATGAGGTCATGACAAAAGCCTTGAAACGATGGTTGGTAAAGCAGTAATAGGGACATATACTACCCAATTAATATCGCTACAATGCCCAAACCCTCTGATCACCCCTGCTGTCTGACCTCTCAAGCTTGTTCATCCTCCCATACCACAGCCTGAGTATCGTAGCGATTGCCGCCACCAGGAAACTGCATGCCGCACACACGAAGTTGCCTGTCGGGAAGCCTTGACTCCGCTCGTCGTTCATCCAAATCCATTGCGCAATGATCTGACCGATACCTGCGCAGCTGTTGTGCAGCGCGATTGCGAGTGGCAAGGTGAGGAAGCTCGGCGAGTTGCAAGTCACCCAATTCGTCATGGAAGGTGCTGCGGGGAAGGCACCTGCAGCGGCCATACATAGGCAGCCGTAGCGCTGAACATAGGCGTCGGCGGGAAGAAGGCCAGCGGTCAGCCAGCCAGTACCTCCTATGAGTGATGCGATGGTGATATGCCACCCACGAGCGTTGAAGTGGTCGGCAGAGTAAGAGATCGTGATGGCTACGAAGAAGCCTACGACCCATGGTGGGACGGTCAGAAGTTGTGCATGAATGGACTCGTAGCCTAGTCCGGTAACGATAGTGGGCGTAAAGAAGGTGAATGAACCCTGGGGGACGACGTCGGCTACATACGCAATGTAGTGTAGCAGCATACGTGGACTAAAGCAGGTGTCCAGAATCTCTTTCCTACTAGCATGTTCCTGGTTATATCCGCCACCTCGGTCGGCCAGGCGATCAACAGCGAATTTCTTTTCGGCGTTGCTGAGCCACTTCGCTCGAGCTGGGTAGTCGGGCAGGAAGAACCACAGAAGGAACGCCGATAGTAGTGTGATAATGCCTTCGATTATGAAGAGCCATCGGAACCCTTCAAGACCTGCCGCTCCGTTGATGTGACCGACTCCGAATGCGATGGCACCTCCAAAGGCACCAGCGAGATTGCAGAACGCAATGACGAGAGCGATGCGAACAGCCCGCTCGTTGTAGCGGTACCAGATCGTGATGAAGTAGACAATTCCTACGATACATAATCAGCACAAGTTCATCCATCTTTGCGTCTCATTGTAACACACCAGGAAAGAAGCCGGCCTCGAAAACTCCGATCAAGAACCTCAAAGCAATGATCGTGGCACTGTTCTGTACACCCGCAAACCCAATCGTTAAGGCTCCCCATGCGAAAAGAAGGATACCGAGCCATCGAGAAGGTCGGATGTAGTGCTTCATGACGAAATTGCTTGGTACTTCAAACACGGCATACGCGACGGAGAAGAGAGTGACGGTCAGCGCGTAGCCGTGAGGTGTAAGACCCGTATTACTGAGCATGTCGTCTCCTGTCTCTGTGTTGAGCACGCGAGCATTGCCAATGTTTCCTTTTCTTAATTTTAGCGATTGACTCGGGTGGTGAGACGGTACGAGATGATGAGGGCCATACCCCTATCAAGGAAATTCAAGAGATATACCCAGCAACATAGAGGTAGAACGCGTAGGTCCAGTTGCCGGTTGAGTTTCTTGTTGTACTTTTCGTCATAGACGTCTATCTCCCCATGCTCTTGTAGCGTCTCATCATGGTGTTTGACCGTGTCGATGTCGACATCTTCGAGGTGTTCGTGCTTCTCAGGTTCTATAGGCTTGTCCATGGTGATATTCTCGTATACGATAGCTGAGCAACTTTACGTAGTCTATTGAGCGAAGGTTCTTGAACCTTTCTTGTAGCTTTGGTTAATGTTTATATAGTTCAGAATATCCATCTCACTTCGTTATCCCATAGCGGAACAACGCATCCGGATATACCAGTTGCGGCTTTACCCCAGATGTGCGGGGTAGAAGCCCACATCTTCGCGTTGCATATTCCCTACCACGGAGATGATCCGCGATTCATCCGCTGTGGGACGAGAATGTCGGTGTTGTCGCCGATGGTATTGTTTGTTGGGGTGCGGAACCAGTTTGGCCACCGAGAAGCCAAGAAAGATGAATACCCAAATACGTCATCGGAATTAGGCACGTGCCGTGTGCAAGCTTCCAAGCTACCTAGGTACCTAAATTTCTCCTCGCGTCTTCATTGCTAGTAACGCCAAATTTGCGTTATTCAACGACGAGTGTTCCATAAACATACAACTCATCTCTCGTCCTCCATTTCCCTGCTATGAACATCTTTTCACCCTCCCAGATATGCACGCCCAGCTCTTTCAGACCACTCTTGTTCATCACACGCCGACTCGCCGGGTTCTCAGAGTTGACAATAGCTCGTAGAAAGACTTTGTCGTATGGCTCCCAGAAAGATCTTTCTTTTTTGCAAGCTTCGATGAGTGCTTTTACAGCACTTGTTGCGTGACCCTTACCCCAAGCAGAGGGTAGATAACTATAACCAAGCTCGACAGTGAGACATTCCGGTTCGAACGTGGAAGGAGGCAGAATATCCGATCTCAAGGTGAGGCCCCGATCGCCGAGAGATTTGACGCCGATATGGCCAATGAAGCGAGTTGGAATCGAGTCTCTGTCTGCGCCTTCGTATTCAGGAGACGAAAGCAACTCGTGGACAGCATATGATACGCGGTAAGACTTGGTTTCGCCTTCCTTGACTGTAACTGGTAGGGCGTATTTGGTGAACCTTTCGGTGTCTTCGAAGGTCTTGGCAATCCCGTCAATGCTGGATGGAATTAGTTCAGTCCCGATGTACATGATGCACGGTATATGGTTGGCTGATAGCATAAAATGGGCCGACCTACCTCCAAAACGCGGCCTTCTCGTCACTGCGTAGTTGGTGTAGCCACTCAAATTCTTGGCTTCCTCTTTCTGCTGCCATGAGCCGCGTCAATTTTAGCTGCGGTGTGAAGATTGTGTGATCCATAGTTGTCAAATGCTGTGAGAGAAGGCTTCTAGTTCTCACAGAGCCTTATCAACCTTTATATTACTCTCTGTTCAGCCTCTGGAGGCTGATATACATCGGAATAGACTAGACGAAAGGTCCAATCGGCGTTCGTTAAGCTCGGTAATCACAGAATGCGGCTTAGCGTAAGAACTTAGCTGTCCACGACTGGTTTAGTTATTCCGATGCTTCGTGACTCTTATATCTGTACGCCTTTGAGTAGACGGCCTTGTTCCAGGCACCAATGAGAACCGTCCGCGTAGAGTGAGCTGACACTCAACAAAAGACATGTTCACTGCGGCTGTTCCGGGATCATAATTCGTGCGAATCAGACGGCTTTGCGCCTCGACACCAAACTTCATGAAGCTAGGCAGCGGTATGCTCACTGTGTGTTCCAGCCTACAAACATGCAACGATGAGTCAGTCGCTGACATGATCGGCTTTGCTTACTGTCAAGCTTGACGCGAATGCCGTGGCTAATGCAGAAACCCGTACAGCATATAGCGCTTTATGCTAAGATATGTTTTGATATCGGTGGTTATATCCCGTACTCGATCATTCACTGGGTATTAGATGCTCGAGTTCCGGATCAGTGCAGTCATTCTCGTATGAAAGCCTCTTTGCCGTGGGTGAAGCCTCGGACGTGTCGTGTGTTGTTGGCTTTGGTCGCGGTCTCGTCGTCTTGCTCCTGCCTCGCTGCCTCATGTATGGCTCAGTTGGGACACTCTCGGATGAACTCAAGGTAACAGGACATGTATCTAACAGTTGGTCATCAAATGATATGATGGAACGTGAAAGTCATTGATGCAAGAAGACGGCAAAGATGTGGGATGCTAGCGCCACTCATGTCTTGGCATGCCCGAATCGCCGACCGAACTTTTGGCACTGTCGCAACGAACACCCACATCCGCAACAGCACCAATGGCACACCCACGATCGTTACTAGCTCCTCTGAGCAGACTCACTATATCGTCCATTGCCGCCTCGAGATCAAAAGTCCCGCGCTTCGCTTCAATACCGCACCAGACGATACGATGCGCAACCACAAAAGCCCAACCCAAGAAAAAGAAGAAGGCGCGAAACACGTTCTTGCAACATGACTTGAAGAAGGCAGAGAAATTCTCGCTTATCGATGCAATGCAGTACGTTCTATTTGGCTCATGTACAAGGGAGTGGGAAGATCGAGGGCTGACGGTGGAATAGATATATCCGCGCCTTTGAAGTAGGCCGCAACCCGTCTTCCTCCAAATACGAACTACATGTCCGCCTACGCACACTCAAGAACGGACCCGTCATACGAAACCGATTACGACTCCCGCACCCTGTCAAGACTGATATACGAATCTGCGTCATCGCCGCCCCCGATTCGAAACCCGCCGCTGAAGCACGAGCAGCTGGTGCTACGCTTGTAGGCGAGGACGAGGTTTTCAACCAGATAAAAGAGGGGAAGATCGATTTCGAGCGGTGCATCTGCCACATTGATAGTCTGCAGAAGATGAACAAGGCGGGGTTGGGAAGGCTGCTAGGTCCCAAAGGCTTGATGCCGAGCACAAAAGCAGGAACGGTCGTTACGAACGTGGGCGTCACTGTCCGAAATATGACTGGTGGTAGCGAGTACCGAGAACGACTGGGTGTGATTCGTATGGCAGTTGGACAATTAGGATTCACGCCAGAAGAGATGCAGAACAATATCAAGGGATTCATGGATGCGATAAAGAAGGAAATGGCGCAAATGAGCGATCGTATCACCAAGGAGATTCACGAGGTGGTGCTTAGCTCGACGAACGCACCCGGTTTTACGTTGAGCGGGGACTTTAGAGGACCGGACTCCATATCACCAAAGGAGTTGAGCGGGCCGTTGTAAATGTAGCTTTCTGGGGTGTATGACCAATGTACCATACCGAACGCCGTCGCTATGCTGGACAATGTTCTCTTCTATGGTGACTTGAGTGTTTTGAGGACCTTGACTGCCTCAGCAGATTCCTCCATGTCCGCGTATATTTTCATGATTTTCATCACGCGACCAGCGTTAGACTTGTTAGCAGTCTTGGCCTGCTGCAGTGCAGTACTCAGGTCCATCAACAACGTACTCCGCACCTTTGCTATTCTGGCCGCCTGTGCTGCCACGAATGGATGCTCGCCCAGCTCTTTCTGC